CGGCCACTGCACTCCAGTCTGGGTGACAGAGTGAGACTCCGACTCAAAAAAAAAGAAAGTAGTTAGGAAGTAGTACGCAAAGCAGTGTATCGTGTGGGTGAGTGGTTTCAGTTCTCACATTTCTTGCTTGAGGTGACAGTGGTTTCATTTTCACACTATCCTAAAGAGGAAGAATTCCCAAACAGTTTACTCTTCTCTCCACAGTTTCTTCAACCTTGGAATTTTGTCATACGCACACAAAAAGGGAGAGGTTGCAAAATGATGTGGAATTGGCTACCCAGAGTCACCTTCCTCTTATGTTTCTTCTCCAATGTCATTATTAGTCATAATGGTTAAAGGCATCTAATTTCCCAGAGCAGTCCACTTGTACAAAAAAGCAACTTGTCAGACCGGGCACGGTGGCTCATATCTATAATCCAGTACATTGGGAGTCCGAGGTGAGAGGATTGCCTGAGCTCACGGGTTTGAGACCAGCCTGGGCAATTTGACAAGACTTCATCTCTACGATAAATCAAAAAAATTAGCTACTTGGAAGGCTGAGGCAGAAGCATCACCTGAGCCCAGCAGGTCGAGGCTGCGATGGCCATGAGCATGCCATTGGGCTCCAGCCTGGGTGATAGGTGAGACTCCAACTCAAAAAAAAAAAAAAGTCATTTGTCTACGGCCATACCACCCTGAATGCACCCGATCCCACAGAACAGAAAGGCATTTGGATAAACATACTACACAAAAACGCAAGCGGATAAAAAAATGTTAAAGCCAAATACAGGGCATGATGCCCTTGAAAGACAAGAGTTTAAGAGAGGAAGGACATGGCCCTTAGACGCCTGTTGCTTCACATCATTCTTAACTCCAGTCTGTGCCAAATGAAGTCCAGAGGTTAAGAGACATTCAGTTCAGGATGACGAAGCTGCTTTCCTGTGGCTTTTGAGGCTGATGAAGTCATCGAGGAGTGTTGTCCAGGTGCCAGACCCCCTCCCTCCAGCAGTGCTTCATGCGGTCCCTGAGAATGCTGATGATGCTAGTTATCAGTGCTCTGTGTTTTTTTGTTTTCTTTTCTCTCTCTCTAAATCATAACCCATATTTCCTGCTATTTACAACCCATGGACTGTCTCCTTGCCACATCACACTAACCCCCGTCAAAGGTTGAACTTCTCTTCCTCCCAAAGACCTTTTCCCGCCCAGATTTCCTAGTTCCAATTAAACTTCCCATCCTGCCCCCAAAGCCTTCCAGCTCTGGATCCTTGATTCCCGCATCTATTAAGTAATTGTGCATGCCTACTTTTGCATGCTTGTGTTCATAGTATACACATTATCACGTTATTTGTTCACCTACATGCATGCATGCCCTTTTCTATGATTTTACAGTGATGCTGTCCCCCACGTGTGTGAGCCACTAAGAGATAGGAGTGTTACTGGCTCCATGCCTTCATATGGTATAGGTGGCAGTGCTAGCCTGTCATCTTTTCTGTTAATTCTGAATGTTGGCACTTAGGGTTATTCTTTGATCCTTTGGCTTCTACTACTTGATTCCTCAAATGTGAACTGTGGGATTCTAGTACTGTCTATCTGAGTTGTCCTATCTCAGGATCAGCCAAAGGCTCAGGGAGCCAAACTTGGGAGAGGTGCCATTTAGTTTTTATTCTACCACTAACTATAAAACAGTAAGTCCACAACCACATTTTGGCTCAATTTCCTGATCCCTGAAAACTACAAGCAATCTGTACTATGATTGTTTCCTGAGCTGTCTTATCTACTTTACAGATGTATTATTAAAACTCCATGAAATCATTTATGTGGAAGAGTTCTGATAAGTAAAAATGAAGTGTATGTCTGTAAAATGGTAGTGGTACTCTATGTCTTATTTCCCTTGCTTATTTTTTTAGTCCATCTGTTGGCTTCTGGCCAAGTTTCTTTTGTTCCTTCGCCCTCTCCTTGTTCAGCTCTGGCCTGTCCCATTCTTATTGTTATCAAAATAGCTGCTTTTACTTCTTAAGCCAGGATCCACCCTTCCCATCTTTCAGAGCACAACTCAGAGCCACCTCCTGTGGAAAAACCTCCCCGTCTTGCAGAAGGAAATGATAAACTTTGAGATAGATCGTTTCACCATTCTCTCGGGTTTCTCCAGTCATATGTTTAAGTGTCTAGCCTAGCATACAGCAACGGCATCTTTTGTACGAGCTTCACTATTTATCACGCACTTTCACTCACATTATCACCTTTAAAATACTTTCACAAATGTGATATATTAAGCATTTTTTAAAAATTAAGGATAGATTACTTTTCCAAGGCAGTACTGAACTGCAAGTGGTAAAATGAGGGGAGAGGCTGGGCTCAGTGGCTCAGCCTGTAATCCCAGCACTTTGGGAGGCCGAAGTGAGTGGATTGCCTGAGCCCGCGGGTTCCAGACCAGCCTGAGCAGCTTGGTGAAACCGCATTTCTACAACAAATCAAAAATTAGCCGGGCGTGGTACCACACATCTGTAGTTCTAGCTACTTGGAAGACTGAGACGGAAGGGTCGCCAGAGCCTAGTAGGTTGACACTGGGGTGGCCATGAGCATGCCACTGCACTCCAGCCTGGGAGACAGAGACTCCAACTCAAAAACAAAAAGGGGAGAGCCAGGCGCAGTGGTTCACGCCTGTAATCCCAGCACTTTGGGAGGCCAAAGAGAGGACTGCCTGAGCCCACGGGTTCGAGACCAGCCTGGGCAACATGACGAGACCCCATCTCTACAATAAACCAAAAAAATTAGCTGGGCATGGTGGCACATGCCTGTAGTTCCAGCTACTTAGAAGGCTGAAGTGTAAGGATCGCCTAAGCCCAGCAGGTCGAGGCTGCAGTGGCCATGAGAGTGCCACTGCACTCCAACCTGGGCAACAGAGTGAGATTCCAACTAAACACACACACACACACACACACACACACACACACACACACACACACACACA